CTTTCTTTCCCCTCCCTCCCCTCCCCCTCCTTATCTCTTCCCTGTCCCTACTCTCTCTTTGTCTTTCTTTATTACCCTCATTCTCTTTCCCCCTTCACTCCCTCTATCACTCTCTCTGCCTCTTCCTATACCCTCTTTTTTTCTCTTTCCTCATTCTCGCTCTCCTTCCCTCTCTCTCCTTGTATCTCTCATCCTCACTCTCCATCTGTGCCTCATCCTGCCCCCTTTTCCCCTTTCTTTCTCTCATTCTCTCTCTATTTCCCTTCCCTTCTCTATTTTCCTATTTCTCACTTCCTCTCACCCCGTTTCCCTTTTTCCTTGTCTGCCTCCATCTCTCCTCTCTCCGTCTCTTCCAACATGCCGCTTCCTAAGCGCGTGGCGCCGCGCGTGCGTGTACCTGCGTGGCGACGAGCGCTGCGTAGAGGCGCGAGTCGTGGAGCTGCGCGCCCAGCAGCCCGCGCAGCCACTGCGCCTGGGGGTCCCCGCGCTGCGCCGCCTCGTGCAGCGCGGCGGCCGTCGGGAAGCGCTCCGCCAGGCTCAGCTCCCCGTCCCCGCCCTCCTCGTCCCCCGCCGCGGCTCCTGCGCGCACATGTAGGCGATTCAACACAAGGATTTGCTTTTGGCTACACATTCATATTGTTGTTGTTGCTCGCGAATAGGCCGGCTTGGGCCACGCGTGCATGCACCCTGCATTTACCAGGGCTCAGAAACATCTCGGTGGCAGGTGCATGTAATTTTTATCGGGGGTCAGCATTGAGCTAGATCCGATTTTTATGCTCCAGGATTGTTAGCCCTGATGGTATGGAAGATAAAATGATTATAAGGGGTGAGAAGGCGACACACACATCCAGACAAGTATAAATACACCTATGCCCGAGGCGGGACTCGGACCCGCGGTCTTCTGGTCCGGAGACCGCTACGGCAATACTGCCTCAGCAATCTCGCTCATCTGATGGGCTGTGCATTTATTTTATTAATTATTTTAAAATTATTTAAATGATATGCCTTATTTTCCTTCGTGATGCTGAGGCCATCAGGCCTGCTCTTGCGCCTGACCCCGCAGATTCCGCTACGCTTCTTCCACCGTCTAGCAGAGAAAGAAAGTACTATTCGGGCGACGAAAGTATGGCGATTTTGAATTTTGCTCAAAGGCTTCTTTTAGGGTTGAGGATCTTCTCCATGAAGTAAGTCTAACCACATGGGACAGCCGACTGTACAGTCGTAGTCAGACCAACCAAAAAGGTTATGCTTTTCATGGCCGTGGTCTACTTGAAGTTATCTTGACATTGACCGTCACAGGTTATTACTCGCTTATTATTCGCGCACGGTTTCTTGAGCCCTGGAATAACTACCCCTACCCCTTGACTAAATTTAGTTGAATTCAGAATAAATGATAGTAGCAAGCGATGATTACAAAATTAATTACCAGAAATGTTCGCTACCGTATTACAGAAACTATTTGTATCGAAAAACGAGCTACAGATTTCATACAATGGTGCTGTCAGCAAAATAATCAAACTCTGCACAGCGGAAAAGACATGAAGTTCCTAAAGCAACATTTTCGTCATTTTTTTCTAAAATATTTCACAAATTTCCTTATTTGAAGGATGTATAAATTACTCTTGATATTCTGCATTTCAAAAAAGTTACTAAAAACAAGCATGACGGACATTAGGCTCCATTGTGTTTATTTATTGAACATGGCCCAATATTAGTCCTACATTTTTTAATCCGAGAGAAGTGGTTTGCAGTAGGGTGTTTTTTCTTTCTTTTTGTTTGTCTATTTCACTCATATGCTGACTCTCCAATGATGTGAACAATTCATTCAAACTTCAGCCAATCCCAGCTGTTCATCCGCAAAACAGCAGGATTGGGACTGCCACACGTTAAGCCACAGAAAGCTTGTCCTATTTGTTAGTATTAATATATCAATTTTGGTGAAAGTGTGGCTTCTCTTGTTAGCATATAGTATATCTTTTTCATATGAAGGGCTTGGGGCAGGGACAAGATGAAACACACTTTGATAGAAATTATCAAACCCAGTTGTGTAATCCTTCTTCAAGCAAGTTCTCTTGCATCATCGAACTACGTTTTACAATGAAACAAAAGGCGATGTTCACGCAGTTAACCACACTGTGTCACATTGACATCAGAAAATACATAGGTGATCTCTACGGTACCTCTGTTGTACGTTATCTAGAACCGATATCAAGACACATGTTTTCCATGACACTAAGCGATTGTGTATAGAATGAAGACTCTGAAGACTTGGACTTGCAGATAGCAAAACCATATTTGGGAGATTAACTAAAAAAATCACATAAACCGTCTGGAGGAATTGTGAAAATACTTTGAATTGAAACTTCGTCTAAAACCATGTGACCCAAATACCAAACATTGCCAAAACAAACCAACGACGGTTTAATCTGCAATAGCAACAACAATAACGTAATTAGGTATTTCCATTTCAAACCTTGTTTAATTTGACATAGGTTCTTACAGAAAACCAGGAAGGGAATCAAAGCAAAACCACGTTGCTTTAGAACTGTGTTATTGAACGGTGCTGTAGAACGGATATTAATTTGTCAGCTCTCTTATTTCGCTGTGGCAAAGGGAAAATTAACAATACTTCGTCAGCAAATAAAAATTGAGATAAACTTAACGCTGTATTTACTTTGTTAAAGTATAATATCCTGTTTCATAACCTTCTCTAAATTTTCTCTGACTCTTTAAAGGTTTTTCCACAAACTTCCTGATTTTTCGCTGACATTTGCAGAGAAATGAAATTGCCCGATTTTTCCGACTTTTGCAGAGCAATGAAATTCTCCGATTTTCCCTGACGTTTCCATATCAATGAAATCCCCTGATTTTCTCCTAGCAATGAAATCCCCTGACTTTTCCCGGTTTTCTATGTAGCCCAGAAAGTGGCCTCCTTCTTAACTCCAGAACTGTACACTGGGGTCTCCTGGACTCCATCAACATTTCAAATTCACACCGAGTGGACACTTCTGACGACAGCCGCATATCACTGTACGTAAATTTGGATTATATCGCCAGTTTGCCCTCAAGCTATTCAGTCTGTTGGTGCCAATACGAGTACTATGCCGAGGATAGAAGCTATTTCGTCGGTGGTACAACTAGGGCTTAACGGGACTAAGTGTATAGTTTATTTTTTGCCTGCATTCTTAAATGAAAAAAAAATCGTACACAGTCGTTCAAGAAGGGAGAGATAGTTCAGGCCCATTCACAATGCAAACGTAAAAATAAGCAAAACTCATAGACGTAAACATTAACATAAGTAATAGACTGAAGTATTCACGCAATGTCTAACATAAACGTATGCAAAATAAGAGTTACTTTTGGCTGTGAGACATTCTTGTTTACAATTGGTTGGATGTGAGAATCGATTTCGAGGTATCGACTGCGTCCATGGCCCATATGGCGTTAGCTGATCTAGCGACTTCACTCCTCTTTCGATTCTAGATTTTGACAACGTACTGAGATTTGTTCATTTCCTTTGTCTTACTTAAGTATAAGCACAGAAGCTTGCAAGCTTTTAAGTTGTCTTACGTGATATGCTTATGCGAAAGCATTGTGAACGAGTCCGCTTATGGACGTAGTCCCACCTTTTATATTAACGCCATGCATATTGTTTTGTTTGCATTGTGAATGGGCCTTTATGGCAGTTGTGCCGTAGCGGTCTCGGACCAGACCGCCTCGGGAATGGGTGTATTTGTGTATGTCTATATGTGTATGCCGCCCTTTCATCTCTCACCATTATCATCTCATCATCCATACCCGCAGGGCTAACAACCTTGTGGGATAAAAATCGGGATTAAGCTAAAATGCTGATCCCCCCCCGAAAGGTACATTGCATCTGCTGAAGCAGGATGCAGACGAAGTCCAAGTTGGCCCACACGCGAAACAAAAAAATCATTCACAATTATCTATATCTTTTGTAACCAAAACAATGTTTGGGATCCGTGAGACGCCAGTGAGCAGTTGTTAAGTCGCAAGGGTAACAACGAGGCAATCACCGATCAGGTGGCCGAGATCGCTAAGGCAGTAGTGCCGTAGGGATCTCGGACCGAAGGATCCGAGGGGGTACGAGTCCCCCCTCGCGCATGGTTGTATTGACCCAAAAGTTAATGCGTCCTTTAATAACAAGGAAAGGAGAAAAAAAAACAGAAAACAATCGTTCGGACTGCACGTACCTGCGCGCGTGGCCGCCGAGAGCATGGCGGCGTTGGCCTTCCTCGCGGTGCTTCCTTCCTCCTCTTCTTCTTCTTCTTCTTCCTGTCGGGCGAGCAGCGCGTCGACGCGCGGCAGGAAGTGCTGCAGCGCGCGCTGCACGGCCGCCTCCAGGGCGCCGACGCGCGCCTCCAGCTGCGCCACGCGGCCCCCTCCTCCGCCCCCTCCGCCCACGGCGCCCTCCAGCTGCGCGCGCAGCGCCGCCACCTCCGCCGCCAGCCGCAGCACCGTCTCCTCCAGCGGCTGCCCGCCGCCGCCGCCACCGCCGCCCTCCATGCACTCCGCGCCTGCGACAGAAACGGTTGTTTTTTTTTTGTTTTTTTTTAGTGTTTAAGTTTTTTAAGTGTTTAAGTTTTTTAATGTTGTTTAAGGTTGCGTCAAAGTCTAACTCTTGAATTTAACAACTCTACTCTTGCCGATCCGGTGGCCGAGATCGCTAAGGCAGTAGTGGCATAGCGAACTCGGACCGAAGGATCGCGGGTTCGAGTCCCGCCTCGGGCATGGTTGTATTGTGTTTCGTCCTTTCACCCCCTATCATCATCATTATCGAGTCAACCCACAGTTACCATTCCGTTACAAGCAATAGTGGTCGCTAATGACCTAGTAGTTGATGCGACCTTAAATAACAAAAAAAGCTCCACACATTCGGCATTCGCCCAATTCCTAGCAGGTGATGTGTTCGGCGAATGTTCGCTCCCTTTGATGTGTCCTAAAAGCCGACATGCGGTGGGTAGGGCGAGCATCGAATGTTCGTCACTTGGCAAATAGTAGGCAACTCGTCCATACTATCCGGGATTCGGGAGCTAGTTGTTGCTCGCTAATCGCCGAATGACGGATGTGTGGAGCCGCCTTATCGGTATGGTAACTGTGAACATGACATGATATGACGATGATAGGGTGTGAAAGGACGAACACAAATACAACCATGCCCGAGGCGGGACTCCAACCCGCGGTGCTTCGGTCCGAGACTACTGCTCGGCACTACTGCCTTAACGATCTCGGCCATCTGGGCGGGCAATCGGTTGTAATTGTTGTTGTTGTTGTTGTGATGGGCGGAGTACTGGACAGCGCGAGAACGCCGATATTATTTGGGAGGGGGGACGAATACGTGGTGAAACTGGTGCCCGCTACGGTGACTCAGGGCATGAGCCAGGGGTGGAGCCAGCGGATCATTTCG